GTGGCTCGAAGTTAAGACAACGTTTCCTATTTTAACTAGGATCAAAGCTTGTACTACGCCGAAAAATACACACAAAAAAATGAAAATGTGGTTAGGAAAATGCAAAGAATTGAGGAAATGGACAGCAACAAATATTCTCTAAAATAAAACAGTCAGATTTCTAGCATTTTCTTTTGTTGTTATGTTAAAAAGAAATTGGCGGTGCCGCTACTTTTCAATTAGGAAAATATTCCAACTACTCGGTCTATTTTTGGCGTGGTTATTAAATTCTAGCTTACTTTATTAAACGAAATTACAAATGACCCCAAAAATACTGACATAATCAGGAGGATAGTTTGGTAATTTTATACTGACACTGCCAAGCGTCAATATGAATTGAGAAGAAGCATCTTCAACCATACCAGTCTGTGTGAAACCACCAAATCAACATAGAAAAAGAAGAAGAAGAATACTAAGAGCAAAAGCAACAAAGATTCAGAGAAATGGCGTTGCAGTGGATGATACTGACGTACGTGGTGGCGGCAGAGGCTGCCGTAGCAATTCTCCTGACATTGCCCTCTCCAAAAGCAATCAAATCTCGTATCGTTTCATTAATTTCGCTCACCCTTCAACCTTCACTTTTCATCGTCCCCTTCGCCGGTTTTCAGCTCCTCGGTACATATACTTAATACTCTTTCTCTTTTATTTTTTCCAATTGAATCTTATCAGTAATCTGCCAATTATCACTGGACTTAGGGTTTTGAGCTTTTTTCTCTTTACTTTTTTGTTTGGTGTTTTTCTTTTGTTAGATATATATTGGAAAAATGAGCATCGGTTGATGTGCACGGGGGAGATCTGCACTGCTGCCGAGAGAAACCGCTACGAGAAATCCGTAATTTCTCTCTTTCTTTCCTTTTTTTTTTTCCGTAAAACTTTCAAATCCTTTTTTGCTGACTTGTACAGGTTGCCTATATATTTAACTGAAGTTGTGAATTATTACGCCTAGTAGATTGGATTTTAGCAATTAATAAACGAGCTAATTACAGTTGTGTCATTAAATTTTGTAAGCAGCGTGCTGCCTCATTTATTTAAAAATCCATAAAACTTGAAGGGGGATGATTACTATATTTTGAGATTTAAACATTGAGGAAATCTCAATTTGTGATTTTTGCACTCTTATTTGTTGGCGAAGAAACCATAGGAGATTGCATCCAAATGTGATAGGAAATGACATCCGGATCTCTTCACCTTATCGAAACAGTCATCACAGCTTTCTTCCCCAAACAGGTGGAACACACAATCTAATACCAATATTTAATTCGGAAAAAGTACATTTTACCCAAGTGGAGGTAGTTAAAGCTAACGGAAATTGAGTAGCGCAAGAATGCATCTCTCCGAGAGAGAGAATCCACCACCAAACGGCGTAACTCATACTGATTTTCTTCTAGTGTGAGTATGACTCGTTACTAATGTCTTTTGTTTCAAGGGAACATCCTGAACTTAGAAGGAAATAGAACCAACTGTAATTTAGTTTAAATTCTATTTGCTTTGTTAGTCACCTTTTGTCCGTAATTTGAAGAACATAATTAGAGAATGTTGTTTGATGTAAAAGGAAAAAAAATGAAATGATGGTATGGCTTATTCGAGCTTGGTTACAGCGTTTTTCCTGGTTTAGAACAATCTTGATCAAGTTCTTAAAAATGAAGATGACAATGTATTTCTCTGTTTTGAATGAAAAATAGACCTGATCAAGACAGTTTTGCTAGGTATATTTTAGCTCTAGTAAGATTGTAGCTTTCTTCTAATGGGTAACTACTAACTAGTGATTAGACATAACAACAACAACATACCCAGTATAATCCATAGGTGGGGTTTGGGGAAGGTAGTGTGTACGCAGACCTTACCCCTACCCGGAGAGGTAGAGAGGCTGTTTCCGATAGACCCTCGGAAACAGTTAATTGAATCTAGTTAAATGTGGAGTGATTAGACATCTCCTAGTTAAATGTTTTCAATTTAATGGTGGAAAACAGTTTGAGATTCCTTAAGTGAGCTGCTTTGTTTTAGAAATCACTGTCAGTATTGCATGGTTGTGCTATTTAGAGACTCATGTCTTTTCGAATTATATTTTGGTATTAGATTGTGTGATCCACTCATCCACATGTTTGGGGAAGCATGCTGTGATGACTGTTTCACTTCTTTTATTTCGATAAAGCAAAGAGATTCGGATGTCATTCTTATCACTATGATTTGCAAATTGTTGTTATTTGTGTTGCTTTACACTCCTTTTCGTTTTACTCCAAGGCTTACACTTTAGTTTCCTTTCAAGGAATCAATAGATTATTCCTACATGGCCCAGTTTCACTTCGATCGACTTTCGTTTAATTTTTCTAGAGTTGGATAGAGAAATATATAACTATGCTGACATTTCTTGATAACCCATGTTTCTTGGACTTGGATATGTATAGAAATTGGTTTTTCTTGAGGTGTCTAATTTGGCAAGCACTTTAGATTCAAAAAATAGAGAACGTTACACATGAAGAAGCCAATGGGATTCAATCTAATGTATATACATAAAAAATTGACCTTATGTACACATTTTAATTTTCAGTCTAGCTCCGCTCCTGCCACAAAGCATTCATCACATGTGCAGTGATATGCTGAATTAGTAGAAGAGTGGCAATATAATAAACTAAGGTTACTGTCAAAAAAGAAAACTTTTGGAAGTTTCCATTAATTGACATCTATATAATAGGTGGTTGCATAAAAAGGAAAGCAACTTAGGAGGGTCAAAAGCAACTTAGGAGTGTCTTTTTCATGATTTTCACATGAGCTAATTTGTGTTGTACACGGAACAGGAGTAATGTGTGCGCAATCAACTGATGAAAATTTTCTCTAATTGGGAAAGGGAGTTCCATGGCTTTGAAAAATAGAAAACTATGCAAACTGCTGACAAATTGAACGAAATGAGGGGGAGAAACCATAATTTGTTGTCCTTGTTCCTTTCCATTAATGGAAGTATTTGAACTTTTCATCAACATGTAAATGCATCTAGGCGTAATGAAACCTTAAACTTAAAGGCCGATGAAACACTTCGTTTGAAAGGATGTCTTTTACCTTTTTTATTGCTTAGTTCTCATGTTGGAATTTCTAGTGTAATGAGTGTGGACCAATAAGGAAACACTGCAGAAGCTAATCAGTAGTGTTTAAACTAGTTCTTTATGATCACTGCCATGATTTAAGGGTTCCAATTGTGTGCTTTCCTCGTATCGCATAGGTCTGTTTTTCACATGATCTCAGGAATTCATATAGAGAAAGAATAGCTGGAAAAAAGCATTTGTCACAATGCTATATTGCACATGCTTTTTCTGAAATGCACTGCTTAGTGTTTACCTTTCACCTTTGTTCCAGTCTTGTCTGCTTTCTTATTCTTAGGGGAAGACTCCCACACAAACATTAACTGAATGGTTATTCGGAGGATGAATTAAAATGATTGTTTCAGAGGCGGCTTCTCTTAGTTTCTTCAATTTGGTAAATACATTGGGGTTGTATGGGCATCATGGTGAGACTAAATTATTTGATAGCTTCTATTAGCATGAAGAGCCTGCCAACTTATTACTGTTTGACTTCACTTTTTATTTCATCTATCTGGAATCCATGGATCAAATGCATTTGATCTGCTTTGGTGGATCTGAGTCCAAAGATTGAGTTAGTCCTAGCAATATAATCTACCTGATCCTACAATATATAATGTTCAGATATAGGAGAAACCACAGCCTATGGAATGTCATTTTAAGTTTTCCCGTTGCTCTCGTAGCTAGTACTCCAAGTATAGCTTGAACATCCTGACATAACATATGAAGCATGAGTTCCACTTGTCCCCTTGTGTTTATCTCCTTATGTTTGACGATACAGTAGCTGAAAGACTACCATGACTGCATCCATTGCTGTGTTCTGTCTGTATAACTTCTTCGATCTCCCCTCATTTAATGCAGATTTACAAGGCTCAAAGAAATGCTATTCTGTGTCTGGCAGCATGCCTTCTCTACTGGTATATATGCAAAATCCCTTGCGACCTTGTATTTTGATACTACTTTGGGCTTTGTATTATTCAGTTCATAAACAAAGTGTTTTTATGTGGGTATAGGTGTATCTATCGTGTCTGCAAGTACTATAAGGAGATTCAGAGCGTTGAGGAGGTGGAAAAGAGACTCAAGGACGAGTAGAGTTTTCTTGGCTACGGCACTTCCACTGGTTTTGAGATCTAGTTGTAGCTGAACAGGTGCCTAGTGACACCTTTTTAAGACTTTGTAATGTGATATGAATTTTGTGTTTGCTTTGTTACTGCCTTCTTATGGCACGCATTTGTTAGGTTTCTATGTCTTCCACCTCGAGGTGGTTCCTTTTCAGTCGAAAAACATAAAATGTAATTGGTCGTTGCAACAATCACCTATACACATTCAAGTACTATCTACGTTTATCTTCTCAGGTTTCTTGTATAATTTTAATGAAATAAGCAGTGATAATGGATATCTTGCAAGTACATTTTAATTAAATGAAAATAAATAACTTAAAAATCTCTCATAATATACATTTTAAATCACTTATCTATTCAAATAACATTAATTGTAAAATGAATCTTCAAATATCTTTATTTTTGGTTGTAAAGTTGACACTCAAATGCACTTTTGGATTGATGGGCCAAACGCAAACGCATGCTTCTGAAAATAACTAACTTAAAAACCTCTCATAATATACATTTTAAATCATTTATCTATTCAAATAACATTAATTGTAAAATGAATCTTCAAATATCTTTATTTTTGGTTGTAAAGTTGACACTCAAATGCACTTTTGGATGATAGGCCAAACGCAAACGCATGCTTCTGCATTACCAAGAAAAGCGCATTTGAAATGATTTGGTCAAACATGAACTATCACGAACCGAGAGTACTTCTGATGAATCTCTATTTGCGAAAAGTGCTCGGCCAACTGCAGCAAGCATGAAGACAGAGCAACACAAATGGGAGATAAGCACTCTTCATTAGAACTCAAATAGCTCTGACATTCACAGTAAAAGAGAAACTCCAGAGCCTGCTCTACATTTTTACAAGCTGTAAGGATCAAAGCATCCTTCATTTCAGTTACAAACTGATTCATTGAGTCTGCCAGCCATGAAATCAGTGAATATCTCAGTCGTTAAACAAATGCTATTCTCCCTTCCAAAAAAAAAAACTTAACGGAGCTTTCGCACACCAAGTTGGGAGCTGATATCTCATTCTACCTGCACACGGAGCAAAACAATTCTAGCCGCATTCATGGAGTAAAATCAGTTTCTGTACTGGAGAATGAATCGTCCTCAGCGATGCAATATACCTTTTCCTTCTCTTCATCCCACATTAGAACTTCTCGTACATACCTAAATGCTTCATCAACAGATGTACTTTGAAGAGCCCTAGTCGGCCAAACAAATAGCTTTTTGCCAGTGATTGAAGCATAGAGCTGCTTGAACTTAACAGCAACATAATAATATGCTTGATTTGCCAAGGCTTGATTGTTTTGTCTCTGTCTCAAAGGTCTAAAGTCATGAAACCAATCACAGACTGTCAAAGGAACTTGGTTGATTTTGTTTTCAAAGATATCATATTTATTTAGGAGGAGCACAAAAGAGGCTTCCTCGAAGCTAGTATGTCTAACTAAACTCTCAAATACATCTCTGCTTGCCAACATTTTATTTTCTGAGGTACCATCACCTTGGGTCCATGCCAGGTCATAGTCACTCAAGGCCACACAAAAGATTACCACTTTAACATCTTCAAACATTTCAAGCCATTTGCCACTATCATGGTCTCCCTTAGAACTGATACGGATCAATTGATACCTGAAGGAAGACAAACAGAAGAAAACGGATGGTCACCGAGGGGCAATAAGTTCACTTTATCAAACTAATATTAGCTATGCAAAAAGAGTTACTTGGTCCAAGGAGGTTCGCTTTGTAAGTCCTCATCATAGATCTCAGACATAGGGCTGTGATCATCGAATGAGAATTCAAGAGAAGCAAGTCCGTTGCTAGGAGTCACCCCTTCAGCAAATAAAATGTCCTTTTCTGAAGGTTCGTACTCATTACTAGATATCTCGATGGCCTGGCAAAAGTAAGATCGCATATTGACTGGCAGATGCAAGCTAAAGGCTTCCAGATAAGCATTATCAAAGATTATTCTAAAAGGTTAGCAACATCTAGCAAGCAATTGCAGAACCCCTTAAAAGTATCAATATCATTGAATTTGAGATAGTATAAAGTAGGGAGCACCCTAGATTAAAAAATAATCTCTGAAGAAATGTACTTTTGACAACCATTTCAAACATAAGTAGCATTTATAGACTTGTAAGTTGATGATGACTCGAAGCTGTTTTACCCGTTATCACTGCAATTCAGTGTTTATGCTTACACAATATAGGCTATATCTTATTATCTACTAATTCGTCAATCCAATTTAAAAGCTGCATTCTCTTTTAAGAATTAGTTGACCGTGCTTCTGCAATATCACATATTGCATGGACTCTATTTCATTTACAAGCTACAACACTTCAGAAAAGATGTGGCAGTATTCAAGAAAAACAGACTTGAGATTGCTGTCTGCCTTGTTGGTGTAGAAGTATTTAAACTTTTCCACTAATGATAACTTAAGAGCCTGTTTGGTTGGGGGAATAGAAGATTCCATCACCACATTAATTCCGTACAAGTACATACATTTTGGCTGTTTTTTCTTCTTTTTTCTGCATAGGTTATGCGGGAATGTATGCATTATTTTATGCAGAGTAGAATGTGGAATAAAAATACGGGTATTAGTAGTAGATGGATTAAAATAAAAATGACAAGAATGCCCTCACACTCTTTAGATTTATTTCTTCTTTTTAGTTGAAAATATCAAACAAGAAATAATCTTTGTATTATAATCCCTACATTATTAATCCATGCATAACTTGTTTCTAACCAAACTACCCCTAGAAGTATGTAATAGAGGAGGTCATTGTACTTGAACCCTATTTTTTTAGAAAATGGAGGTGCTGTAGCACATTATATTTGATGGCAATCAAGGTTATATAGGAATGCTTGAAGAGATCTACAATATAATCGACATAATAAAATAGAGAAGCTTGGAAACGAAATTTTCTAGTATCTAAGCCTACAACATCTGAGACATGTCACACTAAAGGCTCCATGGAGGTAACTAGGAGTGGCAAACGGGCGGGTCGGGTTGGATATGGTTCGTGTAGAAAACGGGTAATGAAAAAATGGATAAATTATCCGACCCGACCCATATTTAATACGGATAAAAAACGGGTTAACCGACGGATAATATGGGTCCATGACTTCTTGAATATGAACACTTTTTGGAGAATTTGTAGTCTCCCAAACTTGAGGAACCCCCAATTTGAGGCTTTACAAATGTAAAAGTTAAGCTCATTAGTTATCCATTGGTAACCCATTGGTTATCCATTTTCTAAATGGATAATATGGTTCTTATCCATATTTGACCCATTTTTAAAAAGTTCATTATCCAACCCATTTTTTAGTGGATAATATGGGCGATTAACTGTGTTCTTTTAACCATTTTGCCACCCCTAGAGGTAACCTATGATGCAGCATCAAATATACCATCAAAAAACAGAAACAACAGTACGTACAAAGTAATAGAAAAATATGGTCATAAAGCCCAAGATCAATCGCTAGATCTAGTAGTTAAATATGAGCTATCTATTCGAGGCTATAGCTAAATCTTCTTGCTAAATCAGTTCAATTACGGATAAATTTAAGCATGCATCAAAACAATCAAGAGGCAAGTTCTGTAAGTTACCATTTAACATGATAAGGCTATAAGACCTCAGTGCAATGGGTCAAATTGTGCCATGATCTTGTAACATCACAATCAAGTGCGCAGTGAAAATCATAACCTTGACATGACTTGTTAACTCATTTGCTCTATAATGACAGCTAATGTTGACCTTATTATCAAATGGTAACATCTGGACCGTCTAGTGAAATGTCACCCTTACTTATTTTACTGAATAAATAGTAATTGTCAAAAAAGTCTTTGGCAAGTAAATAATAAATTCAATATACAAGGTAAGCTTCTGATGCTATTTATAGTCAAAAACCATGCATTTTCAACTTCCTCTCTTCATGATAATATCAAGTAATAGAAACATCAATCCAAATAAATTGTGTCGCTACCAACTAGATGTCAAATATTGATTTAGTTGATTTATGTTTTGTAACTTAATAGAGCAATAGATACCTCTATTCAATAATCTTAGAAATTCAAAACTAGATGTATTAATACCACACCACTTATAAATGAAGTATTTACTATTGAATTTCCTTCATTTACACGATCTTCAATTCATCATAATTGAATGTGACTCTCATTACATGCTTACGAATAATTTAACAGTGTTTACTCATTGTGACCAAATGAATTTTAACATATATTTTCACATGATTTCATGTCCACTATAAGTGCCATGTCTCAAATTGCCACCTCTAAACCAACTGCTATCCAGTAAATGCAGATATCGTTTATGGAAACAAGGTATACCTGGTCCAGGAAATATTTAGCAGTATCAGGAAGAAAATGCAGTTCATCCCTTCTCTTGTATGTTTCCTGGATGGCAGGGTCTTTCCAGATCTCGTCTACAACTGGAGCATATTCACGTGTTGCAGCAGGAAAGAATGTATCCAAATCTCCCATAGCTATGATTTCCAGTAACCAATCAGAAAAATGTTTTACTCTTTGATTGACTGAGTAGATGCAGCGCCTGCTCCCATCAGTTCCGGCATCAACTGAATTAAATTTACAGTATCCACACAACAGAAATTCAGATATTGCCCGCATGATATATATATCCATCAAGGAGAGGATGCCCTTTGTGCTTATAAACAACACATAGATACAAAGACCACACACATATATCTCTCTGTGTATATATATATATATGTATGTGTGTATGTATATATATATATATGTATGTGTGTATGTATAT